CCACGGTGATAAGGGGTGAACTTCTGATGGTTAATCGTATATGTCAACCTGGCTGGGCCACTGTTCCCACTTGTGTGGTCCAAGTTTATCCTGGATGTTTCTGTATGAGTATCTTGGATGAGTGTTTCCATTTAAATTGGTGGCCTTTGAGTGAAGCAGGTGGCACCCCCTCAATGCATGTGGGCATAATCCATTCAGCGGAAGGCGTGAACAAACCTTGCCCTGATCAAGAAGGATTCTGCAGCATCAGCTCTTTTCTGGCCCCAGCCTGCCATCCCAGCCGACAGGGTTTGGACTTGCTGGTGTCCTGTTTTAAAATGGACCCAGAATTTGTTTCAGTCGGGTATGGTAAGAGGACAGAAAGGAAGCCAACTGCCTTTGAAAGAAGAGCGTAATACTCACAGTTGCTCAGAGAATGAAAAGCATGGCACAGCACGCGGTGCCATGTGGGATCACTTGCAGGGAGAAGCAAAGCGAGGGGAGCTTGGACAGAGCCTTTATTACTACGGTGGCAGGACTGAGCGAGGTGGAGATGTCTCCTGCTGGGCAGGAGGCAAACATAAATATTGAGGCTTCTGGATGGAGGGTTTGTATGAAGCAAGATCCGAGGGATGACTACCAATGTGATGTTTGATGTGATCAACTGCTTGCTCCTAATCTTTTGCAGTCCCTGTCTCCTGCCTATTCTAACTCCCTCCAGTCCCCAGGCAACCACTGATGTAGCCTTTTCTGGAATTTCACACACATTTCATCGATGAGTATATACTCATTTTTTTTTCTGTCTTCTTTCCCTCAGCATATTGAGATCTGTTTATGTTGTGGCACACATCAGTAGTTCGCTCCTTTTATTGCTGCAAGCATTCTGTTATATGGAAATGCCACAGTCTGTTTATCCATTTGTGTGTTGGGCATTAGGGATGTTTCCATTATTTGGTTATTATAAACAAAGCTTCTCTGGACATTCATATACAAGTCACTGTTTGTACATAGGCGTTCCTTTGTCTTGGGTAAACTCCTAGCACTAGAATGTTTGAATCACGTAATAGCTGTATGTGTGGTAGTTTAAGAAACTGCCTGCTATGATCCAAATGCTTGTTTCCCCCATGAATCCGTATTTTAAAACTCTAATGCCCAATGTGACAGTATTAGGAGGTGGGACCTTTGGGAGGTAATTAGGTCATGATAGGGAAACCTTCATGGACGGCATTAGCGCCCTTGTAAAAGAGGCTCCAGAGAGCTAGCTCCACCATGTGAGAACACAGTGAGAAGGCGCCTGGGACCAGCCAGGAAGAGGCCCCTCACCAAACCAGGACCATGCTGGCTCCGTTATCGTGGACCTTCCAGCCTTCAGAACTGGAAGAAATACATGTCTCTTATCGGCTGTCCAGTCTGCATTAGTTTCTTTAGAGCAGCCTGTGGACTAAGACAAGTCACCCCACGCTTTTCCAATGTAGCTGTACCACTCTGCACGCGCCCCCTCGCCCCACAAGCAGTATATTCAAGTTCTAGTTCGTCCACATCTTTGCCAGCACTTGATAAAACTGACATTTTAACTTTAGCCATTCTGATAGGCACATAAGGGTATACTGTGTCTGTGGGTGTGTGTTACAGTTTATATAATAATAAGTTTTTAGTTTTTCAAATTATCACAAAATGTAGGCTTTCTCCTTTTTATCTCATTGTTAACCCATTTAATAGTATGCTATTTAGCCTCCATCTGTTTGTGTGTTTTTCAGTTTTCCTTGTAATTGATTTCTAGTTTCATACCATTGAGGTCAGAGAAGGTCTTCTTAAATGTATTGAGACACATTTTTTGTGGCCTAACTTATGTTCTAGCCTGGACATTGTTCCATTCCTTGAAAACAAATGTATAGTCTGCTTCTTTAGTGTGAAATGTTCTTAAACTGTCCGTTAAGTCCATCTGGTCTAGTGTGTCATTTAAGGACGCCTGGGGTTTTTTTGTTTTTGTTTTTGTTTTTGTTTTTGAATTTGACTCTGGAAGATTTATCCACTGATGTCAACAAAGTGGTAAAGCCCCCTACTATGACTGTATTACTGTCAATCTCTACTTTTATGTTTATCACGATTCACTTTATATATTTAGGGTATCCTATGTTGGGTGCATTGGTGTTTACAAGGGTTATATTATCTAGTTTCATTCATCCCTTCATTGCTATGTCATGTCCTTCTGTGTCCATTATTATTGCCTTTGTTTTAAAGTCTATTTTGTTAGATGTAAGGACTGCTACCCCAGCTTTTTTCCCCATGTTCGTTTTCTACCCCTTTACTTTCAGTCTGTGTGTCTTTCAACCTGAAATAGTTCTCTTATAGACAGAATATGTATGGGTAGTGTTTTGTTACACATTCAACTGCACTGTGTCTTTAAGGGAGAATTTACTCTATTTACATTTGAAGTAATTATTGATAAGTACATATTTCTTGCCATTTTATTACACACACTTATGTACCTCTTTTTATTTTTTTTCCTACTCCTTAGAAAAGTTTCTTTAACACTCCATGTAATATTTGGTTTATGGTCATGAACTCCTTTAGGTTTTTTTGTCTGAGAAGCTCCTTATTTCTCCTTCAGTTTTAAATAAGAGCCTAGCCATGTAGCATATTCCTGGTTGTCTATGGTATCTTTACACAGCAGAATACTACTCAGCCACAAAAAATAGGAAATCTTACCTTTTGCGACAGCATAGATGGACCTGGAGATTATTATGCTAAGTGAATAAGTCAGTCAGGGAAAAACATATACCATATGATCTCACCTATATGTGGAATCTAATGAACAAAATAATGACAAACAAAACAGAAACACAGGCATGGATACATGGAACAGACTGACAGCTGTCAGATGGAAGGGACGTTGGAGAGCTCGATGAAAGAAGGTGAAGGGATTAAGTAAACACACACACACACACACACACACACACACACACACACACACCACAGTATATATATAGGGTCTGCCAGAAGTAATACCTGCTTGAGTGTGGTTGGTAGGGTAATAATATGGGAGTAATGATTTATAGTTTTAATTTACTTTTTTAAGATTTTATTTATTTATTTCTAGAGAGAGGGGAAGGGAGAAAGAGAGGGAGAGAAACATTGGTGTGAAGTGTAAGAAATTTCAATTGGTTGCCTCTCGCACACCCCCAACTGGGGAGCCGACCCATGACCCAGACATGTGCCCTGGCCAGGAATTGAACCTGTGAGCCTACAGCCCACAGGTGGGCACTCAATTTGCTGAGCCACAACATCCAGGGCTTTGTAGTTTTAATTTTAATATTTCACCTAAAATGTCATATGGTGTGCTTGAGTGTGATATTGTTGTTACAAAATTACATGCTTGTGATTTTGTAATAAAAGATTTTGTAATAAAAAGGGGATGTTATTTGTGCTGGATCCTGTGTATATATAACAGAAAGACAACAGAGTGGTGAACATCAGAGAAAAAGGGGGTTGAGGTTAGGTGGAAGTGGGCAAAAAGGGGGGAAATGGGGACAGAAAGATACTCTGCTGGTGGAAAGGTGTGCATGATGCAGTGTGTAGGTGATGTTTTATTGAGTGGTACACTTGAAACCTTGGATGGTTTTGTGAACCCATATGACCCCAATAATTTCAGTTGAAAAAAATTGTTGCCTGGACCATAAGCTCTATTTCGTTCCTGTGTATATTGCCACCCTTCTTGCACTAGCTCCTCACTACATGGGATCACCAGGTTGGCCAACAGCCAGTGGAGGCACGTGTTCCTGATGCAGAGCAGTAGTAGTAGCTGCGCGTGGTCTGCGCACATAGTGACAACTCAGCTGGATGGTAGGGATATGGAATTCTGGTTCCTTGCACGTCTATTGAATTCCTGTGAAACCCATCCTGGAACAGTTTCTTGTGACTTTAATTGATTGTCTCTGACTGAATCCTCACATATCACTGTTTTTAAATCCCTTTAGCCTTCCCATACTTGAAAAAAAAAGCCTCTTAGGAACTACATGAGACAATTGAGATTGATTATAAGCACCTTTCACTTTTGCAAAAAGGAAAGCTAATCTTTCATATTAATTGTATAGCAACTACAATTGTTTTTAAATTAATGTGACTAATGTTTGGTCAACCATTTCAACCTCTGCTTCATCTAAGTGTTCTCACTGGGTGTGTAGCTCGGAGCCATGTCTTTCTGAATAAGCAGAGCTCCCTTCATCACTCATCCAGACCCAGCACAACCAAGGATTCCCACCTGGTCTCCTTTCCAGAGCCTCTGGGGAATGACCCTTTCTCTTACGGTGCCAATCAATTCTGGAGGCTGAGGCCTTAAGCTATATATTTCCCTCTCTTTTATAGACTCTCAACATATTTTCCTACAACAGACTTTATTTAGACCTTCTTAATCATCCCCTCTGTAGAGTCCCATACAGAATATTTAAAATGAAACATAACGTTATACTGTAATATACAAATTTTGGGAATGTTCTACTTTAGGTAGTGTCAAATGATCTAAAAGTCTCCCTTGCATCATAGAGTTTCAGTTTTGTTTTGTTTTGTTTTTTTGTAATTAAAATAACATTTCTTGGATTTGTATCTCTTCAATAAATCATACCACTACTTCAGAAGATGTTTGTATTTTCCCTCATGTTGCACTTGCCTTGCTATTAAAAGGCCCAGACTCCCTCAGCAACAGAAATTTGTTTAGAGTATTTAGAATCTGTGCAGTATTTAATATTCCTCAAAACTGAAAAGGCATTTCATTCATTCTTCATTTTCCCTCCTTGTAAATGTGTTATGGGCTTGGCCTGGTGCCTGGTGCTGGTCACCTCGAGTCCTGTAGCCGTATGGGATGCATGTTTGATCAAGGCGTAACAGGATTGCAGTTGAGGAAAGATGTATGTCTCCATGTCTTGGAGGTCTGAGAAAAAGTGGTTTTTGAGCCATATCTCAGACTTTGAGAATTGGGTAGTTGTTTGCAAGAAACGGAAATTACCAGAGGCAGAGGGCTCAACATGGACAAACAGGTGGGGAGGGAAAAACTTACATGAGGCTAAGAAGGTATTCTGGGAACTTAGGATGTTTGTAATCTCATGTTGTGTATTTAAAAGACAGGCATAAGCCCAAAAGCAGCTGATTTGGACACAATACACACACACACACACACACACACACACACACAGAGTTTTAAAAGGTTTCATAACCAGAAACACCATTTACAAAATAAAGTGAAAGAGCAAAGCCAAGCCTGGGGCAGATATGACCAGCTTTGTCGCAGACCATGGCTTCACCGCCTCAAGGGATGAGAATGCCTTAGACGTTAATGAGGGACATTCGGGTGCCTGGAAGACAAACCTGGCATCAAGATGTCATTCCCAGGATGAATGTTGCACACTGGCTGACTCCGAAGTCTCTTAGTTCCCTGCCGTTGGGGAAACTGAGTGCTCAAGAGGTTCAGATATCCTTTAAAGTCACAGAGTGAAGGTCAGTCTTACACCTCAGCTGCCTAACAACCCCCTTAAGACTCAGCAGGTGCCTCTGGAGGACACAGCCCTGACATCCTTCCTCCGTGCGCCTGGATTCCCCCAAATTCCCAAGGGTACGGTAGTCATGTGTACGAGAACTCGGTTCACTGTGCGCCTATGTTGTGCTTGTCTTCACATTCCCAGTGCCCGGCACAAACCGGGGCTCACACTGGATGCTCCCTCAATATTCCCTGAATAAATGAAGCTGGTGTTTCCGTGAAGGAAAAAAGATGGAATCCCTCCCCAAATGATCACGTAATGTTTTAGGTGGGCCAATGCGAGCTGTGTTCTTGAAAGGACCGGAAATGCACGCAAAGGGTCACTATGCAATCATCCGGAAGTGAAGGGGGCACCAGAGCGATTCTCCCCAGGAGGACATGCGCACAGCGTGTTCTTCCTGGTTACAAGCCTTTTCTCACGTGGGTCCCTAGGGGGCGCGCCAGCCGACTCCCGCCGTACCCAGAAGCACTCTGGGCTGAGCCAGTGCCCAGTGAAGCTTCTCCTAGAGGGGGGCGTGTCTGTGGCGCCTGCTGTGGAGACACCTACAGGCTGTAGGGGCGCGAAGCAGTCGGATTCTGGGGCGGCTCTGGGAAAGACGTGTCCCAGAGCAGCCGGAGGCCGGTGGTGAGGAGGCGGAGATGGCAGGGGAAGCCCTGGCAGTGGTTGACCAGGTGGAAGAAGAGAGCGAAGAGGCCGGACCCTCCACCAGTCAGGGCGGCCTCAGACGGAAGATGGACTCAGGAGGGCCTCCCACCGAAGAGTCCCCCCGGAAGCGCTCCAGAGGTACTTCAAGTTCTGTTTACGAGAGACTTTTTCTAATGGGGGAAGGCAGCGATGTGCAGATCCGGGCGCTGGGGGAGGTGTGGAACCTGCACAAGGTCTACCTGTGCCAGTCAGGCTACTTCGCGAGCATGTTCAGTGGTGCGTGGAGGGAAGCAACCATGAATACCATAGACTTGCAGATGCCTGACGAGAACATTGACCGGGAGGCCCTGCACGAGGCTTTAAGCTCCCTGTACCAAAGCTCCGTGCTCATTCCACCCAGACGCGTCGTGTCCATCCTGGCCACGGCCAGCATGCTGCAGCTGGACGAGCTGATTCAAGAGTGTGGGGAGGTCATGAAGGACACTGTCAGTGTGCACACCGTATGCAGCTACTACCACTCTGCCGAGAGCTACGGCCTCCCAAACATCAAGACCGTGTGCTTCCAGTGGCTGCTGGACAACCTGATGACTTACCACAATGAGGAGCTATTATTGCGTCAACTCAGCCCGGATATCATGAAAGAGCTCATTGCCTCTTCAGAGCTCTTAGTGATGGATGTAGAGATGGATGTGTACTCCATGCTGAAAAAGTGGATGTACTTGCAGCTGCAGCCAGCGTGGAATGGCTCCCGCAGAGCCTTATTGCCCCACGCCAACTTATGGCTTGCAAGGTCCAAGAGGGAGTCAGGAGGCACCCCTTTCCTGGAAACCCAGGAGGGCGGAGTCTTCGTGCCTGTGTTCCAGCATCTGCGACTGGCCTACATCATCTGTGACCTGCCGTCAGCGCGCATCATTGACCAGGATGCACTGATCCCGCCCGCATGGCTGACCCCAGTATACAAAGACCAGTGGCTTGCCTTGGTCCGGGCTGAGCAAAGCAAGGGGGTTGGGCCCACTGACGTCCATGTGCCCAACTGCCCCAGGAACAGCATGCGGTGCGGGCACCACCTCCCTAGGGAAATGCGGTGCAGCTGGCGGTGGGCTGGCTTCAACTTTGGCTGGGACTTGGTGGTGTGCTATGCCAACCAACGCATCATCTTCAAGCGCAGTGCCAAGAACAAGTCTCACGGCCTCGGGGTCAGCTTACTGTGGCAGAGAAAGGTCGCCTTCCGCCTGTGCGTGGTTTCCTTGGACACCACTGGAAGAGCCACCTTCAGGAAGGGCACAGAATACCAGGTGCTTTCCCTGGGAAGAGATGAAGAGCTGGAGATAATGAACCTAGAGAACCAAGATGTGGCCTTCCCCATATATGTGGCCTGTAACTTCCTGTATGTCCCCAGAGAGGGGCGCACCCCAGAGTGAGGACCTGTGCAAAAGCTAAGAGAGCTGAGCAGCTCTTCCCTGGGCACAAGGGCGGCCAGCCTGCTCAAGATGTCAGTTGCCTCTTTGGGATCAACTGGCCTTGCCCATCGCTGGTGACCAACTCTGTCAGAGGCTTTGTTGACCTGTAGCTTGTAACCTTTGAGACTGTTTACCGGCATCTAGGAAGAGGACGCATTTTGAAGTCCCCCCAAGTACCTCCAGAACTCATTCCTGCTGCTCATGTGGAAACTCCTTCTCCTGGTTTAACATACATCGACCCTTCCCACCCTGACCCCACATCATTTCTATGAAACAAAGACCAATTGCCTTTAGAGAGAAACTCTGAGCCCACCTACTCTACTACTCTTAATTTAACTCTTTACCTTTACTTAAGTAAATGTTAATAAAAGTTTGATTAAATAAATATTAAAGGAATACTTTGGCTTCTCTTTGACTTGGTGTGTTTAGAGCTGCCCTTGACCACTCATGACCACTACTACCAGAATCGCTCCCCCTTCCCATTTCCTGCCACTGAGTATAATACTTGCTTTCCATGGTTTCTCACTGTGCGAACTCATCCAGCCTCCACTGATGATCTTCCTTTTGTTGATTGTTCTTCAGCCAAAGAGTGTCTTTTTACATTTTTGAGGAACCTCCACACTATTTACCATGATGGCTGAACCAGCTTACACTGCCATCAACAGTGTGCAAGGGTTTGTTTTGCTCCACATCTTCACCCACACTTGTTACTGCTAATCTTGTTGATAATAGCTACTTTTACAAGTGTTAGGTGATAGCTTATTGTGAGTTTTGATTTGCATTTCCCTGATGGTTAGTCATGTTGAGCACCTTTTCATGTGCCTGTTAACCATTTGAGTATTTCTTGGGAAACGTCTATTTAGTTCCTCTGCCATTTTTAAACCAAACCACTTCTTTTCATTGTTGTTGTTATTGGGTTGTATGAGTTCTTTATAAATTTTGGGTATTAGTTTATTTTTCATAAATGGCTTGCAAATATATCATTTTGTAGGTTAATTGTTTTATTTTCAGTGCAGAATCTTTCAAGACTGATGTAGTCCTACTGGTTGATTTTTTTCTTTGGCTATTTATGCTTTTGTTGTCATATCCAAAAATCATTGCCAGAATCAATGCTGCAGAGTTGAACCCTCATCAGTTGAACCTTTCTTGCATCCCAGGGATAAATTCCACTTAGTCATGGTTTATAAATGTTTTAATGAGGCTATCAATTCGGTTTTCTAATATTTTGTTGATCTCTGCATCTATGTTCATCAGGGATATTGGTCTACAGTTTTCTTTGCTTGTAGTGTCCTTATCTGGTTTTGGGTATCAGGGTAATGCTCCCTTGTAAAGAGTGTGAAAGCATTTCCTCCTGTTCAAGCTTTTGAGCGAGTTGAGAAAGAGTGGCATTAACTTTTTTTAAAAATGTTTGTTAAAATTCACCAGTGAAGCTGTCTATTCCTGAAGGTTTCTCTGTTGGGTGGTTTTGATTAGTGATTCAATCTCCTTATTCATTATTGGTCAGTTTAGTATTTCTGTTTCTTCATGGATCAGTCTCAGCAGGATGGATGGCTCTAAGAACTTATCTATTTCTTCCATGTAATCTAATTTCTTGGTATATAATTGTTCATAGTAGTCTCTTACGATACCATGCATTTCTGTAGTGTCAGTTGTAATTTCTCTTTTATTGTTTTATTTGTCTTTCCCTTTTTTTCTTGGTTTGTCTTATTAAATGCCTGTCACTTCTGTTATCTTTTTGGCAACCCAGGTCTTAGTTTCATGGACTTTCTATTGTTTTTCTGGTCGCTATTTCATTTCTGTCCACCCTGATCTTTATTATTTGCTTGCTTCTGCTAACTTTGGCTTTAATGCATTCTTGGTTTTCTAGTTCCTTTAGGTGTAAAATTAGGTTGATTGCTTGTGAGCATTCTCATTTCTTAATATATGCACTTATGACTATAAACTTTCCTCTCAGTACTGCTTTTACAGCATCTCTAGGTTTTAGTATATTATGTTTCCACTTTAAATTGTTTGAGATAATTTTTTATTTCCCTTGCTATCTCTTCTTTGATAAAGTGGTTGTTTAGGCGTGTGTTGTTGTTTCCACATATTTACAGTTTTTTCAGCTTTCCTCATGTTGATATCTAGTTTCCTAACACTGTGGTAGAAAGATACTTGTTATGATTTCAATAAGTGAGATAAGCCAGTCAGTGAAAGACAAATGCCATATGATCTTATTTACATGTGGAACCTAATGAATAAAATAAACTGACAAACAAAATAGAGACAGAGACATGGATACGTGGAACAGACTACAGATCTCAGAGGGGTGTGGGGGAGGGGGACTGGCTAAAAGAAGGTGAAGAGATTAGCCAAAGAATATATATGCATGACCCATAGACACAGACAACAGTGTGATGATGGCCAGATGGAAGAGGGGCAGGGGTGTAGGGGAAAAGGGCAAAATAAGTGGCAAGCGGGGACATCTGTAATAGTGTAAACAATAATAATAAAGTAAAAAAAAAACCTCAGAATAGTGATTCCCAGAGGGGAAGGGGTGTGAGGGCGGTAGAAGAGGGTATGAGGGGATAAATGGGATGGAAGGGGAGTTGAGTTTGGTTGGTGAACACACAATACAATATACAGATGATATATTATAGACCTGTACACCTGAAACCTATATAGTTTTATTAAGCATTATCACCCCAATAAACTCAATTAGGAATACAATGAATAAACTGAACTAACAAGCAAAATAGAGACATAGACTCACAGATAGAGAGCAGGATGACAGCCAATGGGGGGTAGGGGGTGGAGGGATTGAACAAAAGCGAAAACAGGCTTGTCGATATGGTCACCAGTGTGGTGATTGGGGGCTAGGGGATATAAGGAGGATAAGTGGTAATGGAAAAAAATCAATAAAAATAAGTAAGTAAAAAAGGTAAAATCAATAATAGAAAATAAAAATAAAATTTTCTAAGACCTGTTATGGGTCCTATCATATGTTCTAGTCTGGAAACTGTTCCGTGTGCAGTTGAGTAGGATATGCATTCTACTCCTGTCAGACGGGATGTTCTATAGATGTGTGTTAGGTCTGTTCTGCCTACACAGCTGAACTCAGCAGGCCTGCACTGGCCAGGTGATTCAACAGAATGGGGAGGAGGGCACTGGCTCTGCATTCAAGGTGAGGAAGACTGGTCCCTTTCCAACACCACACAGTTTAGTCACTGAGTCTCTGCTAAGAGCTTCCAAAGAAAAAGAGCACCCTAAACATCACTGCGGAATGCAGCCAGCAGACCCTTCCACAGGAATCAAGCACAGCAGAGAGGCCTCGCCAGCAGTCAGTGGACTGAGCAGTGCACTCCCAGGCTGGTACTGTAACAATAGGTGTGCTGGTCACTGCGTTGCCAGTGAAAGTGGGCTTTTTTTCTGTCTTGAGAAAGGAATTTCAAAGGGCACACACAAAGAGAAGTTTGAACATAGTGGTAAGATTTTATTGGGGTGAAGTGAAATGATACAACCTCAGGGATGTAGGGGATGGCAGTCTCTATCAGCAGCTGCCCAGAGACTCCTAATAATCCTCCATATATCTTCTTCATTCTTGGTAATGAACAAGGTGCCATTCAAATCATCCAACCCACTTTGTTTTATTCTGGGCTTGAGTTGGCCCTCCCTTTAACCAGTCCCTTTCCCGCACCTACGGGGGTTCCCTGTGCCCTATCCAATCTGATTCTCTTCCTAGATTGTCCAAGGCTAGACTTCAGCCCTTCATGTCACCAGTTTTCCTTTTACTGCACATGTCTGAATGGTAGAAGCACCTCCTCTTGCACCATCTTGACTCCTACTGTACACGTTAAACTTTCTGTTACATCATCTGGTTTCCACCGTGCATGTGCTCAGCAGAGGAATTTCTCCTCCTCCTCCCCTCGATAATCCAGTACGCAGCTGGCAGCTTGAGCACCCTGGGTACCCTTGAGTATGCTGGGAAGCTTCCCTGCCTGCGTGTAGGATCAAGACTCTTCAGCGGTGGTCCCCTGGAGCATGCAAATGAGTCTGTAAATGCTCTAGCTTCCTAGTAAATCAAGCTGAATGGAATGCTGTCCTAACATCTGATTCAGCTTCCCAATTTATTATATATTCTGTTCAGCTCCTTAGTTTAGTAAGCTCAGTGTCTGACCCCCTTTGCCTCCCCTCTTTATTAATAACTAGCTAACTACATGCCAACCACCAGGAAGGTGGTGTCTGGGTCTCCAGAAGACTCTCTTCTCTCCCAGATGGACTAGATCCCCACTGATTTTCACCACCAGATGCTATACCTGCTCCTCTTCCCATCTCTGTTGCTCTGAGTTGGGCACCCCTGTGTGGGATTGAGGCCACATGCTCCTGGGGGGAAGGAATTTTGCAGCTGAGCTATCACTCCAGCTTCTCAGCTGCTGCACGTGGGTGCGGGAGGTCAGCCCTTTCTGCATCTCCACCCTTTCTACCAGCCTCTATGTGGCTTCTTCTGTAAATCCTTGGTTATAACACTTCAGTTCAGCTAGCCTTCAGTTGATTATTCAGGTTGATTGCTCTATAATTTAGCTGTAAATTTGGTTTACAGCTGGGAGTAGGTGAGTGCAGCTTCCACCTACTCTGCAGCTCTTATAGGGGCTCCTTAGCAAATGATAAGTCAGTTTTTCTTGATGCTTTAAAAATTCTCTTTGTATGATTTTTCACAATTTATTTATAATATATCTCTGCATAACATTCTTTAAGTCCATTCTATTTAAATTCTTTTGGGCTCCATGGGTCTGAATGTCCATTTTTCTCTACTGACCTGGGATGTTTTTGGTCATTATTTTCTTTTTAATTTTTTTAAAGATTTTATTTATTTTCAGACAGAGAGGAAGGGAGGAGAAAGAGAGGGAGAGAAACATCAATGTGTTGTTGCCTCTTGTGTGCCCCCGACTGGAGACCTAGACTGCAAACCAGGCATTTGCCCT